AGGTAGAAACTACGGAAACTGATAAAATACACTCGAAATCCCTGAGATGAGGTAGGCGTGGCTGCGTACTTCAACTAAACGTCGTGGTGGCTATGCTTTTGGAGAGATATTTTCATTTTGACCCAAATGTGGTCACGTCTCTGTCCAACAAAGAACAAGATGGCGGTTGTCTCAAATTGAAATATCCCACGAGTAACCAGTTCTGTGCCATGTTCGAATGCCACGCCTACCCCGTCTCAGGGATAAGGAGTATACGATGCAACATGCTTTTTGCATCGACCCCACCCCCCAACAAGCAACGAGGTTAACAACGAGATAGGTCTGTGTTTTGAGGACATCTTCAAGCACCGGAATTCTAGGTCCTTCGAGGTCCTATACCACCCGATCCTACTCCGTGTTGCCAAAGTTCTTAAGGCCACAAAGCATTCACAGTATTCTGAACAAGCTGATTTTCTGGAGCAGATTTTCGACCCGTGCTTCTTCTTTCTTGATGAATTCTTGACTGTAATGAATTTTTCGTTTAGACCACAAGAGATCCTCAATTTGTGTTCTCGCCGAACAACGCTCCATGGAGATACGAATATGCGGTGTGTTTCTAATGTTTGCAATGTTTATACATTACTTGAGTTATACTAGGTATTATATGTTTTTCTCTCAAGCTCAGCATATGGATATGTCATTTGTAGACAATCCTGAGAGGGGACGAGAATCTTAACATAGTTGCAGGGGCGCTTGAGTTATTACTTTGCTCTTCTTATAAATACATGCATATCATCGATATGTATTCTAACCCTATTTTGCGTGATTTTTGAAAAAAGCACTAGGAATGAAACGGGGTTTAGTAAGGTGTGAATGATGGAGCTTCTCTTGAACTTGAAGGAGACCCATGAGAGCGACGGTTTAAAGGCACGGTACGCGATAAGAAGTGTAAGAAGTTGTTGAAATATGGATGAGCAGTTGTCAAAAGACTAGCCCGTGAAGGGAAAATGCCAGAGGGACGTCGGAAACGCTTTTAATAAGACTCCTTTAGCTTCAAGCAATTGCCCGGATTGAGGACTAAAAGGCCGAGTGTTGGGACGCGTCCAGTCTTTGTAATGAATCCTATGAACCCATATGAGACAATAGAGCAATGGAGCATTTATGCTACTTGTCCAGTGGCATCACTTTAGCTGGGAAGTGGGCGCTGAAGGCGGGCTTTGGAGCGGAGTCACTGGAGAAAGAGAGTGCCTTTCCTGCCATTTTGCACCTTAACTACTTTACCTTACAACTTTTCGCAGCGAAAACAGCAAAGCAAACTGCGGATCACACTACCCTCCCCGCACAACCTGTTGCATTCTTGCAGGTTATCGTGGACAGCTCATTTGGTTTGGTTTATATATTGGGCCACCTTGCAACCTCTTGAGGTCCATAACAACTAAAAACACCATTCAGAGTTGATTTGCGATAACTGCTGTTCAACGCTGCAGCTCGCGCTCTGAAAGTTATCGTAAGGTAAGAGCGACCCTGTTGGCTAACAGATAGCGCACTTGCCCAATGAGAGTGAGGTGCGGGTTCGAGTTCCGCCTGGAATCTGAAGTTTTGTGATAAGACTGCTCTGGCACTCCTATGGTGTAATGGAAAACGAAAAAGAAACAGGAAAGAAGAAACGAAAATGGAAAAAATCAGGATCTCAACTCCCGTGCTCTCTGTTATAGTGACTTTAAAATAGTTTTACATAGAAACCCCCGTCTTCGAAAGGCTTTCATGAGCTGAAAGGAGTCCTCCTTATGATTGAAGCAAACCCTCGATAGTTAACTCAAATGAGCTTTGCATTTTGTTTAGGTGTTATCACAACACTGGCCTCTGGATGAGCAACGATTTTGGCCAGGGAAAAGCTACGATCTCAAAGGATATATGGACGTTATTGGCAAGTGCACTCATATACTCCCACTTCTTTTCTTCTCTCTTTTCATATGTTGGTTCCAGTCGCTGGGAAGGAGCATCCTCAGTACGGCCGTCCAAATATACTCGCATTGAAGTATCTGGACGAAGTTGCACGGATTAATCAGTATATAATCCACAATATTACTGTACCTGTTGATATTGACGGGAAGCACTACGAGGTAAGCTGCAGGCACAGATCTCCACACTTGAACTGTTATTTTTTAAAACTGTAATTTTGCCAGAGCGTTACATTGCGAACAGGTAATTCATGGAAAGCTTTTAACTTCCAGTTCTAAGGTTATGGAGAGATAGGTATAGGCCATCTCTCTTCCAGTTC